CGTCGAATGAGTCATTCGTCGAATGAGTCATTCGTCGAATGAGTCATTCGTCGAATGAGTCATTCGTCGAATGAGTCATTCGTCGAATGAGTCATTCGTCGAAATGAATTGTCTCCGGAGCGCGACCCTGAAGGCTATAGATAGATCGAGGAAAAAAAAGAAAAAATAAAGGTGAGAATCGTCTCTCGAGGCGAGAACGCGTGCATCGCGTAACGGTAACAACACAACAATAACAACAATAATTGACGATTAGTTTATTCGTTTCGTCGTAAAGACAAACTGAGCATTCACCAACACGTTTTTTTTCCCCTCTTTTTTTTCAGCCGTAAAGGTGTAACGACGCGCGACCGAACGGAACGACGACGACGACGACGAGGACGACGACGACAACGACGACGGCGTCGAGCGCACGATGCGCGCGTGATCGAGCTACGAGGAGGAATAACGACGACGACGAACGGACGACCGATCGACCGACCGTCGCACCACTCGCGAGAATCTCGGCGCGCACGCGCGATCAATGGCGCGAGCGCGGGAAGAGACATAACCTGTAAGAGCGCGCGCGCGCGGCGAGAGAAAGAGGCATAACCTCGCTTCGCTCGCTCGCCGCGGCGAGCGCGTGGCGACGGCGTTCGCGACGTCGCCATGGCGACTGCGCCCGGGCGCCCCCCACCAGCGAGGCGCGACCTTCGTCGATTTCCCGCGCTTGCTTTCTAATTCACAAGCACACACGCAAACTCGCACGTACACAAACAAAAAGGAGGAACGCCATTGGCTATCCCAGCCGTGGACGGTTCTAAATCACGTCTGTGTGAGTTGGAACATACCTACCATTACTACTAAAATGTTATGCTTCGGAAATAAAAGGGGTGGACGGGTGACATGAAACACCCTGTATATCAAAATTCTTTTATTGAGAAAACGATCTCTATTTAAAATGGAATGTGTAGCGAAGTTAGGATACCAGTCGGTATACCGTGTTTTAGGAAAGTCGTTACGTCTACCCGCTACTGGTAGAGGTACGATGGAATAACCGATCGGCCGTCGCTGTTGGTCTCTATCGGTGCGGCGCAGTGATCGAAGTGAGAGGAGTTCAACTCGAGACTTGGTAGTTGATTTATGTACAATATTTATTTGTGTTCTATGTATAATTGGCAGCAGGTATTTTATTGGTCCTGACAGGGACTGATTGGATTCGCTCGCGATAGGCGATGTATCCCATGGCGTGACGGTCTGTTCCTACGCGGCGACTGTATCTCCAGGGCGTGGAGCTTCCAGACTGTGTCTGGGTGCGACACCAGTCAATGACCGTGGCGTCGGCGAGTGTGTCGGCCGGGTGTGTAGGCCGTGTTGGCGTTGCCTCGGCTGTCTCAGGAGCGTTCCTATTTCGGGCTTTCACGCCGGACCCTAGGCGGTTATGTCTGCAGCTAGTGGCGGTGCTGAAGCTGTTGACGGCTGTGCCGTAGCAACAGTGATCCTTGGTGTGCCGGCTGCGGGGGCTGCGAAGGATGGTGCTTCTGTGGCCGCTGCTGCAGAGGCTGCTGCAGAGGCTGCTGCTGAGGCTGCTGTTGAGGCTGGCTGCTCGGTGGTCGAGGCTACTGCTGAAGCTAGCTGCTCGGTGGTCGAGGCTGCCGTTGAAGCTGGCTGCTCTGTAGTCGAGGCTGCTGCTGGGGCTGGCTGCTCGGTGGTCGAGGTTGCTGCTGAAGCTGGCTGCTCGGTGGTCAAGGCTGCTGTTGAAGCTGGCTGCTCGGTGGTCGAGGCTGCTGTTGGAGCTGGCTGCTCGGTGGTCGAGGCTGCTGCTGAAGCTGGCTGCTCGGTGGTCGAGGCTGCTGTTGGAGCTGGTTGCTCGGTGGTCGAGGCTGCTGGAGCGGTGGTCGCTGCTTGGCCCGCTGCTCGGTGCCGTTGAGGCCTCTGTGTGGCCCGCCGCTCGCTATCGGTGGTCGGTTTGGCGCTCCTTATGTACTGGCGCCGGATCGTTTCTTTGCGCGAGATCTTCATCGTGGCGCGGGCCCTCTGGTGTGCGCGCTGCGGTAGTTGCGCGTCGCGAGAATTTCACTCACGAGAAAGTGGCCCCACCGAGTGCTTTCGAGAAAGTAGCTGCTCGGTGGGTTGCCTTTCCGCAGGGATGTGTGCGGCTTCTGGAAGCCGCCACAGAATGTTTAACGGAAAATATATTTCTTTGATTAAAGAAAAGTTTTTTATTTTAATGATTAGAAACGATAAAATATTTAAAAAAAATTAATAATTAAATGAATATTATTACGCCGACTCGCCATCAGAGGTCTATGGATATTCGGAAAGTTTCTCGCAAGTGCTGAAATACGCGTATATCTTTTTATATAGAATCTTGATTTAACAACTTACACAGGTGTCTAAGGTAGGCTCCCACTACATTACCTTACTGATGAATCCAGTAGTAGAAGCTGGGACGAAACGCTAACTTGTGATATTCTTTGCAATCTTATTTTTCACAAGATAGATTTATCATTGCTTTAATATTCGTTAAAGTTTTAATATATGTCTTTCAACATATTATTAAGATCCAATAAAATGCTATAAGCATCTAAAATTGTTAGATTGCTTGTCAATTTAACTAAAGTGATATTACCGCGGTAGTCGTTTAGAGTTGCGTTGTAAGTCCGAAAAAAATTTTCGGCACGCGATTGAGTGAACTACATACGCAGTATATAAATTTACACATTATAATAAGCATTATGATCTAGTTTTGACCGTTAATGGCTTTGCTTCGTGCTTCCTTTCTTCTTATTATTGTTTATCAATTGTACGGTCGTAAAAAGATTCTTATATTTGTTTTAATAATTAAAACTTTGTATCATATTGAATAGAGAGAAGATTTAATACTCTTTTCGTTAAAAAATATCAAAAGATTGAGAAAGTTGGAACAACAAATCAGATTTTTGTAAAACAAAGGTATCTAACGATTCATTTCACATGCTTTTATAAAAGAAACATCTTTTCTACTATTTAAACATGTCAAACGTTACAATGTCATCTTTGTTATCAGTAGTTTAATTCAGATCGATGATTTGATATGGATGTCACAGAGTTATCTTAATTTTGATTAAGTTTGTCGAGATCGATGAAATGTTTGGATTTAGAGTCATCTTTATTTTCATCAGTAAATTTATCAAGATCGATAAAATCTGCTTAGATGTAAAGAAATTTAGCAATATCAAGGAATGTGAAGAATAAGAAGGATCTAGTGGTGAAATAAGAGAATGTTGTGGTGGATGGATAGGAGGATGTGGTAAATGGATAGGAGGTGAATAGGAAATGGGATGTGATGATGAAGAAGGAGAAGGAAGGTGATGGAGAGAAATATGATGATGTAGAGGGAGAAGAATGTGGTGATGGAGAGGGTGAAGGATATGGTGAACAATGACTTGGTGATGCACTCAGACTGTTAGTTGGGTGGGGAGTAGAAGGCCTAGAGTGATAGCTGGGAACAAATAAAGAATATCTTGATGCGTCTTGTGAAAAAGATCGATAATAAGATGAAGGAAATACTTGAGGATTATATTGCGAGCTAGACAAAGATTTCATGACAACGTTTGTAATAACGTTTTGAATTTCTCCTCTAAGCATGACAGACCAAATGGGAGGCAAATAACTCACAATCAGTTGAGTAGCTACATATCGACCAAATTGGTCGTCTTCATTTTCTTCATTTGATATCTTACAAACAATATTGTCAAGATGCTTCATAGCTTTTTGTACATCATTATCGATAGTTGGACTTGTTAGTTGCTTTCTCTTTAAGTTTGTTTTTACTCGCTTATATTTATTGATTTTTTCTAATGTATCACTCAGTATGTTCCGTCTTCTCTTATCACCTTCATCATCTTTTCTTTGCTCTGGAATGATATTGCTTGTTGTCATATCTGAGATATTATCTTTATTCCCTTCTGTGGAAGTTTCGAAGTGTTGAATGACTTTATCACAATTTTCCAATTCTTCAAAGAACTCATCTTGAGATTCCTTTGTTGGACGATCACAATCTTCATCCTGCTAATGAATAAGAGAGATATTTTTTATTATATAATTAAAAAATTCATATTTTCTGATTTGTAAAATATTTACATTATTTTCTTTTAGCTACCATCTACATCAGAGGAATGGAAACGCATAATGAAAGGATATGAAACACGATGGAACTTTCCCAAATGCGCAAGCGCCATTGACGGGAAACATATCCAGATAATACGCCCAGCCAATAGTGGCTCTGAATTTTTTAATTATAAAGGAACTTACAGCATTGTTTTATTTGCTAAGGTAGATGATGATTACAATTTTACGTTCGTTGATATAGGATCAAATGGTCGAGTGCAAATGACAGTGCCATTTTTAAAGATTCGAAACTTAATCAGGGATTAAAGAATAATTCAATTAGTCTCCCAGAAAATGCAGTGATTGTTGGAAATGACGCATTCCCTTTGTGTACCAACCTTTTGGAACCTTACATCAGGAGATTACTTACTAAAAAAGAATTAATTTTTAATTACCGATTATTTATAGCAAGATGTATTTCTGAAAACACTTTTGGCATATTTGTATGGAGATTTGGCGTATTTTTACGACCAATAAATCAGACGCCTGACGTAAATAAAATTGTTTGGGCTGTATGTGCAATCCACAATTGGCTCAGAAAGAATTCTGCATCAACGTACTTACCACCCAAATCTGTTGATACAGAAGATATTACTATTAGAGATATTATTCCAGGACAGTGGCGAAGTCAAATGAAAGAGTTTGAACATTTTAATTTAAAGGTTCTAACAATTACAGTTTTGATGAAGAACAAGTCAGAAAGCGATATGCTGAGTATTTTGTTGGAGAAGTAGAACTTCCGTGGCAGTTAATGAAAATTGGAAGAAAACTTTAACTATGTAATATGATGTTATGTATACTGGTGTGTCGAAGGGATAACTTAATATCCGCGCGCGTAATCGAAAATTTCGTATATAGATATATGTAAAAGATTTTGACATTGGAATTAATAAATATTCACTTCCATTGCATTATCTTTCAATAATAGAATGTATTATGTTAAAATATTTTAGAGAACGTCAATGTAGATATACTGGAAGAGCACCGTTCGGATACTATCACCAAAAAAGAGAAATCATAATAAAGTTCTTAATACTGAACATTAGAAAGAAACATACAATAACGAACTTAAAGTCATATCACAGGTATAACACACTACGTATAATTAACTGTATAATAAACGTACACAAAAATGAACAGATATTCTTCTTTTACATCATTTATGCTTCTTTTTAATGTTTAGTATTAAGAAATTATTATGATTTCTCTTTCTTGGTAATGGTATCCGAACGGTATTTTTCCAGTATGTCTACATTGATGTTCTCTAAAATATTTTAACGTAATACATTCCATTATTGAAAAATAAAGCAATGAAAGTGAATATGTATTTATTTCAATGTCAAAATATTACATACGTATAATCAACTATGCTAATAAACGTAATAAATTCTTTTGGTATAATCAGAACAATCCTCTCTCACGATATTAATTATTAATTAGAATAATAATTTGGAAACGTATACTTATGAAGATATACGTGATTGAAAACTGGTTAACTTACACTCTAAAATCTTGAACTAGGTGAGAGATCAAACTATAACAGTTTTTTATATTTCAAAAATAAATCACAAAAGATCAGTATTAATTTTAAAAGAATTCTTATGCAAATTGTCTATTTTAACGTAATACATTTTATTATTGAAAGATAATGAAGTACCATGAAAAATGACTCATATATTATTGAAGGTGCAGGTTCATCAAAGTAAACATACACCAACAGTTGCCAACTTTACGTCTGACTTGAATACCTCATTATGTATGCTAAGGTTATATACTACGTAAGTAGTTCCCCCCCATTGCGCGCCAAACATCCGTCGAACTTAAAACGCAAATCTAATCAACTACCGTAGTAATATCACAATTTTTGATGCTTATAGCATCTAAAATTGGATCTTAATAATATGTTGAAAGACATATTGAATTCTTAAATTATAATATTAAAGTAGAAATAAATTTAAATCTAAGAAAAATAAGAATTGTGAAGAATATCACGAGTTGGCGTTTCGTCCCGGCTTCCACTACTAGACTCATCAGTAAGGTAATGTAGTGGGAGCCTACCTTAGACGCCTGAGAGGGATGTTAGAAAGAAGTTCTATATAAACAAATAATCATGTAATTCGGCACTTGCGAGAAATGACACGATTAACTATAGACCTTTGTTGGCAAGTCGACGTAGTGATATTCTTCACAAAGTTCTTTATTTAAATAATGATTTGAAAGTAACAAACGCATCTTGCAGTCAGCGTATATTCAACAAATCAATTAAAGAAGACTCTCGAAAGTTTCAAATAACAAGAATAGTAAGGCTAATGAGAGCTATTTCGCTGTTATTAGTGCGATCATATATAAGATATGTTTAAAGTGTGAATATTATATACTACATAAGTAGTTCCCCCCCATTGATTAGATTTGCGTTTTAAGTTCGACGGATGTTTGGCGCGCAATGGGAGGGAACTACTTACGTAGTATATAATATTTACACTTTAAACATATCTTATATATGATCGCACTAATAACAGCGAAATAGCTCTCATTAGCCTTACTATTCTTGTTATTTGAAACTTTCGAGAGTCTTCTTTAATTGATTTGATAAATTACTATTTTGTACATCAAAAGACATCATCTCACCAAATTTCATCAATCCGGAGATTATCGGAATCGAAAGTCACCCGGAGACTGGGCTAAAAAATACATTTATACGTGCGCAAATTTTATAATATGACTTCGCCTAATTCGAAATATGATGAACATAGGACTCCAATCGTTGTAAAACCTCATTTTTCTCGCTTAAAAAGAAAAGAGACTGTAAGTTTTTAGGGTTATTAATCTTGAAATATAAATCTTTCAACAATTTTGAATTCAAAATGGCG